AGACGACTCTAATGCTACGAGAACAGCCGAGGATCAATATAAGGTCAGATGCCAATGCGGCTGGGATGGTGAAGAGGAGGCCATGGTAAGTTGACAACCCATAGGTAGACCAAAACTAACTTTGATAGGCCCAATGTGTCTTTTGTCAAACGCGCCAACATTTGCTATGCCATGGATACGAAGATGCCCATGACCCAAGAGTCCCCGACATTCATGCTTGCTATCAATGCTTGCTTATGCCGGACGAACCTCATATACTCAATCAGATGAGTAGTTTGGTACTCTTGAGGAGAGCCGTAAGAATCATTCTAAATGAGGGTTATCCCATTAGAACGTCGCTATTCACACAGAAGCTTCGTGAGTACCTCAGAGTCTATATTGCTGTACCCTCTGACCCTTCACAGATTGCAACGGGCAGACCCTTGTCCAGATTATAGATCTGCTGAAAAAGCGCAGGCTCCTCCAGCCGACCCCGGGAAGTAAAGTCAAAGGATTTTCACTAAAGGGCTTGCCCAGGTTCATGTTCCCTAGCTCAGGGGACATACAAGCCAGGCTACAAGCGGAGATACTTAGCCCCATGATCAAGATTCAGCATCATGTAAGTTAACCTGCAATGGAAGGCAGATCATAACGCTAACCTACTCCAGTACGTCCAAGACATCCCGCAGGACTCGCTTCAACCATCACAAGTAGTGACAAATGATGAGCTACACAGCATCACAAGATCGTTTTCTCGGGAAGATGAAATGGAAGAATCGCTTCTTGATGCTCAAGAAAGTGGAAAGAAGACGCCCGTACCAATGGAAAAATCCACAAGCATGGTAGCAGAAACCCGAAGTCGGAAGAGACTGGCGTCACTGGCAACCAGATACAGTCAACCCCATACCCCGAAAGATACTGCTCATAAAGATGCGTCCCCACAAAGACGAGTCAGTGATCGAGTTTTGAGGAAAGACAGCAGGAACCAAGCCGAACAGCAAGTCAAGTCCGTCAAAAACGTAACTCCTCGCTCCAAGCAAACGCCCAATCGTCGGACTCCCAGCGAAGGCAGTCTACGCCGCAGCAACCGCAAGAGACGCAAGATCAGCAATTACTCCAAACTTGTTGATGTTGGCGCAGAGCAATCCGAGAACGACAGTTCCTAGTCGGATACTCACCCCGAGAACGAAAGTTATCGCTGTCTCTTACTTGAAACAGCCAAAGAAAGCCTAAACTCACTTACTGGACATTACAGGTCGAGCATATGAGCGTCAATGAGAAGACGATGGGACACGAATGGCGTCATTGGAGGAAACTCCTTTCAAGATAGTGGTTTGAATATCCGTGCACCCGACAATCGAGGTATCGGTCAGTGCAGTGCACCCGCAACCCCGGTGTTTCAACCCAGCAACTATTGATTCAAAAATGAAGCTTAAGGGTCCGCTCGGGGAGGAAAGAGTGGAGGGAACTGAGCCATGGCACGAGCAGGACCCTGGAACGTATAGCTGAGTGTTTAGCAGCTAGCTACTTTAGCTACTTACCTTTTATGTATTCCGGGAGCATGATCACCCATCACCATACTCGGAGCTATTCGGCCCTTGGGACTGACTGTATTCTACATAGCTCAGTAGTAACTCACCGAAATAACGAAAACAGAACGTGCATCCTAAACTTACATATTATGGACACTGTTTCATAGTCAGACAACTGGGTACCTAAGGAAGTGAAGGAGCACAGCCTACTATTGCCCCTCTGTTCAGATACTAGCTACATAGTGCCAAAGTAAAGTCTAACGCGCTCCACCAACATGCTTTCATATCATTCAAGCTGCTACTACACGTAAATTTTCAACTATCATAGCTAGTACTCTACTACACGCATATCATCTGAAATCCCATACATACCAAACCTACTACCAAACCAAACAAAAACTTCAACAACTCCCTATCTTTCTGTCTCTTCCCCCTACCCAAAAAAGCGATGCCACTCTCTGACACGAAGCGTCCAGAATTTCTCTATTCGTTGGTATTCGTGCCATGGGAACCCTTGACCCTGAAAAGTCCCTGACAGGTTTAAGCTCATGGCTAAGTAACATGGTGAAACAACTCCAGGTCTGGCCCGGCAGTTCGGTGCTTGCCGGACTGCCGAACCCTGTTCCTTGCGACCGAATGAATCCGTTTACTGCTACTAATGTGTCTTTTGAGGGAGATAAAATAGATGTAGTTTGGTTGGGTGGTCGGTCTAGGAGGGTTGGTGAAACGCGCGATGCGAATGGGCTAGGTTCGCTTCGCAGTTCTTCTTCTCCTGAGGGGTTGGTTGGCTATGGTGGTGTAGTGTAGTGTAGTGTAGAGGCGATTGGGGTTTATGATCGACGGACGTATACCCACCCACTTGCTCACTTACTTACTTACTCCTTATTCACATGCTAACAGGCAGGCCAGTAACTAGTTACTTAGTACGCAGTTTGCGCGCTGCACATAAGTAGTTCACTGCTCGCGTATCGAGCTCGGCAAAAATGCATGTGCTTAGATAGAGTAGACTAGATAAGAATCAGTATCTTGAATAGATCCGAAATCAAATCATATCTTCTAGTAAAGTAAAGTATTCTGCTCCGTGGTGCTGAGCCGTCATATTCGGAGCATTGTCGAAAGGGGGATTAGATCGATCGTGAGGGACGCGGGAGTGGCTCTAGGCTAACAGGGGAGTTATCCAGAGTTCCAGACTAATTCAGGTCCCCGAGCACTTTGTAGGGATGGAGCTAACAATAGGTCGGTACCGATAGTTAGAGAAGTGTCAAGTCAGCAATGTCTATTTTCGGGTAGACGAAGATACAATAACTCAATGCGGGAATGATAGACGTGGGGATCCGAACTCGCTCAGGGCGGCAATCAGGTCAAATTCATGCTGGAGTTCCCCTCAGGGCTGAACCAATTCTTAGTAAGTGCAAGTTTCTGTGGAATCAAACGTTTGAGACCAGGGCGAGGAAAAAATTTCTCGGGCTTTGTTTTCTGCAGTTTGTACTATTGCAACGAACTTCTCTATTTTTGGTTCCTGAAGATTGGTTCAGGTGTTTTCTTTTTCTTGTTCGGGGGAGAAAAGGCGAGTAAACATCAAGGTTTGGTTGATCGTCACGGGCCCGATAAAAAGGGGCACTAAGATTCGAAACTTCCCAATTCCCCGCAATTGAAGCTCCTTAGCAAGTGGATGGGGAGAAAGTGGTGCTATTGTCGACTATTTGACCCCGACAAAGGTTAACCTGGGAAACTTTTGGGGTCTGTGTGGATGGTTGTAACTATTGGCTTGTTTGTAGATTGAATGCTTGGGCCGAAAACTGGGGATGCTCTACCTCATTCCGCCTTGGTAACTAGAGCATCTCCAGTGCTGAGATGGTCTTAGCCTGGAGCTTCGGATTGCGAATTATGCACTTAAGATATGAATGCTTAGCACATAAATGGATTCACCGAGAAGTCTGCTATTAGTTGGGACTTTGTGTGACCCAATCTACGAAGGCGCTATTTTCCGTTCAGACGCGAGCTATGCAGAATATTAGCAGGTTAGAGGAGCTTGTAATAGACCCAATGGCTTGAATCACTGAACCTGCTGTAAGCAGTATGAATGTTCAACAGCCAGTATCGCATGCGTTTGGAGCAGAGAGCTGCTATTCGCCATCCAGGAGCACCTTATGCAGTACCTAGTCGCTAAGAAACCTGCAATTGATCTGACATTGTTTGTGCAGATTCAATGATTTGCTGTTCAAGCTTATCACCAGTCCGACCTCCCCAGTAAGTTTCTGCGGAACGGCGGGGAGCTGGCTAGAGCTCTGGATACTAAGGTTTGAGAGTAGATAACTCGCCGAGGATAGTCGAGAGGAGTCGGAAAAAATCACCGCTGCAGCAAAGACGTTTAGACTGACGAAACAACTCTATTGACTCAAGAGCGGTAGGGACTCGCAGATCCTTTGTTGTACGTAGCAACTGCGTACTAGAACTGTGGATATAGCTATGGAGGCTGTTCGCAACAGGGGTCAGGGAAACCTCATGGGGGAACATAAGCTTTTCTCTTCCACAGGCACATCATGCTAGCTTATATAGTGCTGTTAATCCTTTCAGATCTGTTTGCGTATGGTTTCGGGAGTACCTTCCATATGCTCCAAATCGTCAAGGGCGGAGGCTCCAAATTGAACCGACGTCTCAGTAACCAAAGGAGCAAAACATGCGGCCTTTCCTTAGAACCCATTCAGAAGGGCATATATGAGCTCCTCTTGCGATTAGTGCTGCTCGTGGGATTGAAATAAGATACTGAGTTCCATAAGCAGAAGATCACAGCCGAGTCACACAAGACGAACAAGAAGAAATCGAGGATAGTTATGCAAGTCGCACGAAGAACCACAATCTTGTAGGGCACTTATGATGGAAGATTATCGGTTGAGCTCCATTGGTAGATGTCTCGCTCTGAGTATATGAGGTCACGTCACCAGGTGCGCGTCTAAAACCTCAGCGTCCGGACACATCCGGTAAGTTGACGGTCGGGCGGATGGCGGCTTGGCCGATGATCTGCAAAATTGACTTTGACGGACAAGGAGCACTGAAGAGCTCTGGACGCTGTTCAGTTTCGGATTTCCCCTACTGCAGTTACTTCCATGATGGAGGAGCTAATAGAGCGGCACAGATTTAATTGCCCGAGAGTGTGTTGTGGTGTAGACCAGTTGTGTAGTTGACCCTAGTTCTGGCTACGGCCATGCCATGCTCAATAGGGGGTGACCTCTTAACAATGGCAACCATTGCACATAATAGGAGCCGGTACAATTTCCCATGGTCTACTTACCCAACTATGCTGATGCCAATCAACTTTGTTCCGATGGATTGGTAGGTTTGAACATCAACCTTCGATAAGGTGTCTTAACGGGGCGCTATTCCAGCAACTTTCCATGGAAACCTTGCAATGGCTTTGTCGATTATTGACGACGATCGAGTAGCACATGCATCCAAGATTTGAGATTGTGCGTTGAGGGTTGCATTTCCCTAGCGGAGACTGATGCCCTGTGCACGACTATTTGCCTCACAGCCATTAGCGGGATTGTCACGGGCGTCAACAGGGCCAAGGGATGGTACGTATGAATTAGAAATAAACAGACTCAATGACATACCAATTTCAGCCTGGAGGGTCGAGTTCTTGAGAGACCACTCTGTTCCTGCTTGGATCGAGTCCACAAAGACTATTGAATCGGCACTTGGGGGACCCCACTACTATGGCGCTTGAGTATAACATTTGGTGAGCGGGATGACGATCAGCAGCAACTGCAATTCCTATTGGAAGAGACTTTCAAGGGACGGCTGAGCGGGCGAAGCGGCGATGGGAAGTAGTTCTTCACCAGTTCACTACTCTCCATCGATCGCGAGTGGCAGAACCCGTGGAGAAGCCCGAGCGGCAGCAGCCCCTTAATTTGAAACCATGACTGGTTCCTGACGGAGTGCACGCGTCGGTCCAATCTCCGGTGCCGACGTCAGTGGCATACGACGTGTAGTAAAAGTCAATCAATTCATGACGGAGAAAATATGGTGGCAATGTTCTTATTTGCTTTTGACTTGGATGTAGGCAGAAGAAGAAATAGCTTGGTAACCAGAATAAAAGTAATGAAGTGTGGCTGCGCTGGTTTATTTGCCGCATTGCCCGAATAGTTCAAATCGAACCTGGGCGCACGTGTCCAGCCGCGTCTAAACCTGAAAGAGACGAAGGACTGCAGCGACTATTGACCTTTAGAATATCCCCTGGAATCCAAAGAAGACGGAAAGGAAAGACGGTCGAAGTTTACTGTACGAACGAGAGACGGCGCAAGGGGAGACCGCACTAGGAATAGATCCATGATGGTGGGATATCGGGGTTGTTCATCCCTGTTGGCCAACTCATACATACTTATTATCTTCAAGTACGAGAATGCGTTTCTCTTGCTGAACGAAGCACTTTGCGAGGCACTGACTGACAATTCTCCTGCGTACAACTATAGAGCACACACATATTGGACCACCACCAGAAAAATGGTCTGATTTCGGAACAACTAATTTGAAAAAGAAAAAACAAATCCACAAAAAATAAACAACTGCAAGACACAGACATCCCACCCATCCTCCTCGAAATCTTGCCTTGACTTGAATGGGAATCGCTCGCCTCGGGCCACCAGCAGCCATTGAATCCACCTTGGAACCTCCTCCACTGGATGGGCCACTCAGAAACTCTCAGGAGCCGCTTTGCGATCTATGGACCCATTGTTGTGTGCCTGTCGATTCTTACTGCTATTGTAGGGTGCTAAGGTGCCACTACCGGCTTGCAATTGTCTGCTGACACGAATCTTAATTCTCTGGGCTAACGTAGGCAGCCTGTCGCCCGTCTCTTGCCCTCTCTCCTGATGATGGACCACCATGCCGGTTCTCGCCCGTCTGGAAGTATGACAACCGGGTCTCTCCTGGGCCCACGAGAATGGCTTTGTTCCCCATCGATTTTCTGGTTCCAAGCAATTGGCGAATGAGCCTTCTATGCTCCTCGCGGATCTCTTCAACTCTGACCTGGCCCATGCTGAGTTTAGACTGTTTCTGGCGTCTTTGACTTTTGCCCCTTAAGCCGCGACCCTCCACGCTTTTTGAAATTCTTTCCCCCCCCCCCCATCATCAGTCCGCTCACATGTAATGAAATTGCGGCCACTTATATATAGTACCTAATAGGTCTCTCGGCTCGCACGGCCGGTTCTTCTTTGATTCTGGTCAATTCCCCTGCAAAATCTGTTACATCATTCACAAGCTCCTCAGGGACCCTCTTTTGTATTCCTGCGAGCTGCTACTACTATTAAGCCAGGTCATATTTCACTCGTTCCGCCGGACCTGCATACTAGTCCCTCTTTGCCCAATTTTCCTTTTACACTTTCTTCTAGTTCTCTTTTTATTTCTCCGTGACTCGCCTGATCCGTCTCTCCAGTCCCTGCTTGGTACATTGACACGCTCCTCAAAAGAACGCCAATCTCCTGGAGATTTTATTCTTTTGACCGCTTCTTCAATTTCAAATTTGGTGTGTCTTGTGGCGCCACGAAACGAGGATCTTTAGTGACCGAAACGGTAAACATACGGGCTTGGGGGTACTCACCGACTTGGGGTGGGGAATATTGAAAGACACCTCCGGCTTTCTACCAAACCTCCTGAATCCTCCGACCTAAAGACGTCGGGATCAATTGTTTATTTCGATTCAAAGAATTCCTGCTCTCTTTTGACATTCACCACTTCTTGCTATCTGGTTATAGCTCGATTTTTGGAGAAGAGACATCGGGATTGTAGCCCGCAGTGTCGACGTGGGTCACGCCCATACTAAATTTATTAATGCCCCAGCAGTCCATACCTATCCCACCAAGGACTTCCAGCATGCATGCCTCTAAAAGTGGAGTGCGTTCACCCGCAGCCAGCCCGGGAGATTCGAGGAATGAGAACACATCAAAGGCCTACAAAATCCTCGGCACAACAGATGCCTCTGTCCACGAGACTCATTCCAAGCGTGACGACAAACGACGCTCGAGACGACCAAGCTTCATGAGAGCTCCGGAGATCAAATCGCAGAAGAGTGGTGGTTTTGTTCCCTTCCCGACTGCTGCTCCAGAGACCACTATTCCCCCACAACACCTCCGTGTTCGGGCATCATCACCCCTGCTGGGCCATGAGTTTCGCCCAGATGATGCTCCTGGACAGCCGATGCCAGCATCGACAAAGAAAATCCACCAGTCAGGTTCAGCCTCCGCCCTATTCTCCTACTTCAGTTCTCGGGATTCGTCAGCCAATACAATTCCTGGCATTGGAGTTGCGACATCCGACTTCGGGCCTGCAGCTGAAGGTAAACCAGAGTCACGGCAAAGCGCCGAGTCTGGTTCTAGCCTCAGGCAACCGAAAGGCCCGATGAAAGACTCAAAGCGTAAAATGCGCCCACCCCGGATCGACCTCTCCCTACTGTTTCCCAAGCCCAAGGCAACCGCTGAGCCCCTCCTGTCGCCGCAACGCTTGGTGGCCTCTCCCTCTGCTATCTCCATAGTTTCTGAGCATCCGGTCACCAAGGCAAAAAACATTGAGGACCATGCAGCTGGCACTAAGCTCGCAAAGACGCCACCTCACCTGGTAAAGACGACCGACCAAACCTACGGCGGTCGGGCTCCTGAGGCATCATCCTACGAGACTAAGACGTCGAACTGGCTTGATCCATCCTTGGAGAGGACCGTACGGGCCAGTGAGATGGACTTAGCCTTGCAGAAACTGCAGCAAGATTCTCGGCGCAATACCAAGGGTCGCTCTAACCGCTCACAGTCGCGATCCCAAGGCCAAGATAAACGGCGAACCGGTGATTCTCGCGCCCCGGATGATAACTTGTGGAAGGTTACCTCAAACAGTTCTGGCAGTGAGTGGAGCAAGGAGACCTACTTATCTCCTAAAGCTCATTCTCGCAAAAGCTCACATCGTGTTTCAAATCACTCTGAACCCAGGAGACCAAATTTGCATGCGTCTGCTGCATTGGAGAAGTGCTCGGTGCCAAAGAAGAGTAGTCGAACTACACTGAAGACCGCGGACTTGAATAGCTCCAGCGTGCTTTGCCTCTCATCTTCGGAGGATGAAGATGATGACGAGGACCTCAACAGCGATCGACTAAACAGAGATCGAAATGCTAGAGACAGTGTTGCAACCTACGGCGAATTCGAAGCCGAGATATGTACAGCATCGGCCGCACAAGCGACAAAGGGCACATTGCGGAGCATTGATCAGCCGATGTCCGTCACTGGCCGTGGATCGCGCCCATCACAGAGGCTTCAATCCGCTCGGCGGGACGTGTCTCAGTCATCAGCCGAGAGGTCATCATATATGGCCAGCTGTCAATCTCGTCGATCCAGCGATATACCCACCATCTCTGAGCCGGAATTCTTCCACGGGGATCCGATATTCAACCATCAGAGACAGAGCCAGCTCAGAAAGCCCCCCTCTGCCTCCCAGAAGGAGACCAACAGAAGAAGCCGAGTCATTGCCGTGACGAGACAGGAGGAGCATCTCCTTGAGGCAATGCGACAGAGGAAGGGGAAGATTACGCCCAGTATCTTCCAAGAGAGCCGATTTAACAGTAGCTTGGAGCCCGACCAAGGTTCCATGCTGTCTGTCCCTTCACGGGATTCGTTCTATGGATCAGACATGTCCTTTTTACGCCTAAGCCCTGCTTTCCCTCCTAAATCGGTCCAAGCCAATGCGAACCGCAATGAAAGGGAAGGCTCCGTTTGTCAGAGCACTTTTTCAGACGAGGAGCAGAGGACCATCAACTCATTCCCTTCTCCTCGTGCTAGCTTGGCTTTCTCCGAGGGTCTTTCGTCTCCCTCGACCAGCGCAGCCTCGCCGTTGACACCGACGCTCCCCATCCACCGCTTCTCCCCTATACCGTCTCAAGGGCCACCGCCCCGTCGCCCTATTCCCGCTGTGCCACAAGACAAGAGGCGGCACTCGCGGCGGCGTACAGATAGCAGCGAGGCAATTGTCCTGGAAGAGCCCGAGGAGCCGAAGCAAAGGGATGAGCTTCCCATGTGGACATTGCGGTGGAATAACGACAATGGAACTATGACGGCTGTACACTGAACATGATGTTGCTTTGTTGCAAGATGCTCGCAGTCATGATACCCACTCATTTTAACTTTTTTTGAACTTTGATGACATCTTTTACTCAACCTTTACAATACCTACCTTCGCCTGCACACTCACTCACCCATTTCTATACCTGTGACTCAACACACACTCTTTGGTTTTCCTTATTTACGTTCTCCTTTTCGAATCGATCAAGCGAAATACGGCCAGATGGCATCTATTTTGGAATTTTTATTACTCATGTTTGGTTGGTTATGGCTACTTATGCTATACGGCGAAAGACATTTTGTAGATAGACGACCTAGACTTGAAGGGGCTACTATCGGACACTGTCCACATAATTGAACCATCTATGCTGATAACTCTACTGTAGAGCTTACTTTCCCGTATTTTAGGACCTGCTGCATTATACGTGATCATAAGACCTGGGACCTTCTGTGTATTGCCCACACCCATCCAGACGTTTTTCTCGCAAGGTGTATGTCGAGTAGAGTTCCAGAAGGCCTGATATAGTAAGGATCATGGTTGGGGAATGGTTCGAACCACTGACATGCGGGAAGAAGCAAAACAGTTACCCAACGGAAGGTGTCAGTCAGATGACATAGCAAGCTATCGCAAGGAGAGTTGCAGTTGCGACGATCTCCCTTCTGTTAAGTATCATGGCGGTGAAAATGACCACGCTGTATAGTCTCACTATCTTCCTTTCCTCTCTAGCTAGTTAAGAGCGTTCAACACGGGAAGACATGTCGATGTATATGCGTGGTGTCACTCTTTCGTCTCTACGATGGCTAAGGCCCACCCTACGGGCTTCGAGAATCGGTTTCTGTAAGTTTATCCTATCTTGCCTAATTCGAAGCATCAGTGAAGGATTGCTGTTAGGCCCCCAAATTCCTGCGGTCCGAGCCGCATGGATTGGGCTGTAATGACCCCGGTGAGAGGAATGCTGATGTTGATCCCAACCGACGACATAATCTTACGTCGAGGCCTCACCGGCCGTGCGTTGCGAGTATAGAGGGGGACTGGAACTTTGGTACACAAACCAAGGTTCTGAGTTCTGCCAAGAAACATCCGTTCGACTGGGTCTGGCCCTCGCTTTGTGAGTTATTGTGTGAGTAGCTAGGCCGTCGGCTTTGATTCCCGTCAAAAGACCAAGCCTTGTAACGTGATAAAATTTACTGCAGATCATGCATGTTTACTATTATTGATATCACGGTGATATTAGCTGACTGCAATACCGTGTGTTGCCGATCGGACCTCACCAAATGGTATCATGGCACGTTGATGATGAGCGGAACTTAGCGTAATCTGCAGCTTGCGCGCTTTGTTGTGGGTACAAAGAGCAGATATTCCGTCAGCTGGATCTGCGCAGTGCAGTGACGAGGTCGATCGAGGCATGTATGTCTTAACCTGACGTCAGATGCGATCCTCAGGGGGGCAGTTCTGGGCGAAAGTCGAAGCACTTGGTTCTGGGACCGAATTTAATGTATGGCTGGGAGGAACCAAAAGTGCCCATCCGCACAAGCAAAGGGACTAGACCGCCACCTGCCCCGTGATCCACACCGCCCAAACAAGCGTCTCAAGAATACCCCGGATCCCTCATATTTTAGTCCATTCGCTCCCTCATTCTTCTGGTTCTCCCCCCGTTTGCGCTCAGTTCCTCGACCTCCATTGAGGCCTTTTATCCTCGAGAGCTCTGTTCTCGAGCTCTCCGATCCTTGATATACTCCGCGACCGTGCCGGTTTCCTTTCGTGTCGGTCTAGTTCGCTAGCAAATTCCTCGTCAAGCGTGAAGACACCCCTCTCCCACCACGACCACGCGCCCAACTTGTATGCGACATCCTCGGTAATCGAGTGCGGAGTTCCTGTCCGTTCGCCGCCCGACAATTTCGACTGCTCTTCATAACTCACCCTGCTCGTTACCTTTAAAAGAATCGCCAGTCTAGTTAAAGGGAAGACAAATATCGTCAGTATGGGGGAGCCCGCCCAGCGCCAGTCCTCGGGACTGGGATCGGTTTGGAAACATCTGTCTTGGGCACTGGTAAGTCACTGGTCATATTGCACATACTGTCACTATGACAATCCTGCTGCTTGTCTGCTTTAAACTCTTGGAGGATCTACTCACTGACATTGTTTTTGATGGAAATAGTTGACCGTGCAGTGCACGTCCTTTGTCTTGGTGAGTCGCTCCCCTCGACTCTGATCATAGCGTCCATGGTTGCTTATATCTCGCCCTCCCATAGCTATTGCATTATTCCAGAGTTATGTCGCCGGCTGGCGGCAAGCGTTACCTAACGTCTACTACCGTTTTCTTCAATGAGGTCGTAAAGCTCGCTATCTCCCTGACCATGGCGCTGTACGAGGTTTCGAAGACAGCCCCTCCTTCGGTTCCCGCGACGTCGCTTTTCTTCTCCCTCACAACTGCCATATTCTCCGGTGATAGCTGGAAGCTTGCTATTCCTGCCTGTCTCTATACGCTTGCGAATTCGCTGCAGTACATCGCTCTGTCGAATCTGCCGCCAGCCACCTTCCAGGCATCGTACCAATTGAAACTGATTGTCGTGGCCATAGCCAGCTTGGTACTGCTTAAGAGACCTGTCTCGCTCCGGAAATTGGGGCTCATGGTTCTTCTCTTGGCGGGAGTTGCTTTGGTGCAGATGCCTATTGGTAACACTGACGATATGACTCTCCAAGACGAGACTGCGCGTCTTGCATTCCCCCGGTCTCTGGAAGAGTGGAAAGCGTCCAAGCTAGGACGCGAGAACCTCCATAAGCGTTCTGCAACCTATGAGGGGATTGAGGAGGATATGATGACCGCCAACCCTAGACTTAATGCTACCGTCGGCCTCTTGGCCACAGTTGGCGCCTGCCTCGCCTCTGGCGTTGCAAGCGTTTACTTCGAGAAAGTGCTGAAGGATAGTGCCAAGTCAACATCGCTCTGGATCCGTAACGTGCAGTTGTCCGTCTATTCGATATTCCCGGCGCTTTTCATCGGGGTTATTTTCTTGGATGGCGAGAAGGTTGCTGCCAATGGCTTCTTCGAGGGCTACAACTGGATTGTCTGGTCCACTGTTGTCGTTCAGGCTATTGGTGGCATTGCCACGTCCTTTTACATTGGTTACGCATTCAGGGATGGCAAGAACATGGCCATGGCTGCGAGTATTGTACTCACAACACTGGCTAGCGTTTGGCTATTTGAGTTTGAACTCACTGCCAATGTATGTGACCGTATTCCTTCATTTATGAGTAGGTGCTAATCTTCACAGTATCTCCTGGGATCATTCGCAGTATTGGTGGTTACCTGCCTTTGCGAGGATGCAAGTTCTGCATCTGCCCAGGCTAAGCGCCAAACCTTCCGTCCGCCTCCGATCCGCGTGGATCGCTACGAGAAGGAAAGCAAGAGTGGGGATGCTTCACCAGCTTCCCCATCGCCTAATGAGATCTCCATAAAGCTTCCTGGAACCCCCTTCCTCTCTACTGATGGGCTTTCGACGTCCAGGCCTACATCCCCGGGCCACGTACGCGCTGGCCGCACCCCAAGCGGTGGATATTTCGAAAAGCACTCACGAGACCACTGAACTACAATTTGCGGACAATATCTTCGCATTTTCCGCGTAGGGATGACCTTCGCGTTGCTGTATCATGTTTTTCTGGGAAGTAAATAAGGATGGATAGAAGCGATGATGCCCCTTTTGCTTTCGTCATATAGGTTCCACTTTCTTGTACTTTATTCACATCATTCCTTTCGTTGTTGATTCTTTCGACTCGCAATCCTACAACCCATGGATCATCTTCACATTGAGCACTCTACTTTCCTAGGAATTGAAGACTGGCAAATCGTAAAGGCTTTGGGTCGATTGCTGCATGTATCATCTATCTTGACTTCTGTCCGCTTGCTGTATGCTGGCCGTAGAAGACCCCACGTGCTTCATAGCGGGTGACTTTTCCCCTTCCCCATCTACCCAGTTCTGGTTCAACCTCCTCTCACCTATCCGTGGTAAACGTGGATGTGGCAGCGTCTTGCCCATCGTATCATTCCATCATCTCACCATCTATCATGCGGCACAATACTTATCGTTCAATCCCTCAAGCCCGGCAGAATGCTCCCTATAAGCGTAGGGCCGTTCCTCAACTCCCTACTCCCAGCCGATCAAACCCAAGTGCCATCATTGATCAGAGACTAGTCGAAGGTGCACAGGAACCTTTGTTCAATCGACTACCCAGAGAGGACTCTGGGAGCTATCGACCTGAGCTGCAGTTGTTTTCTCGGGACGATGATCTAGAGCTGGATGCCTTTGGTATGCCGATCAACTACCCCACAATGCCATCTCAGAGTATTTAGATCAGGCTGATCATCCAAACCTTAGACCTTGAACTCCTGGCCCAATCAGATGAGCAAGGACAGAGTCCTCAGACAGCCGGTTCATTCGCACACCGTGGCTCGTTGTCCAGGCCTCCCCAAAGAACTGACTATAACCGGGTTTCTCGTTTCTTTCAAGGTCAGAGCAAATGCTTGATATAAGGTTCATGGATCTCAGCCCTGAAGGATCGAGCTAACAGGGCTTGAAACAACAGCGGGTCCTCATGCCACTCCACGTCAAAGTTTCGGCTCTAGTTCTTCGGATACGGGTGTGAGATCGCCATCTAGTCCATTGATAAGGATGCGAGCTGGTATGGCGAATGCATATGCTTCCGAACATGACTTCGAGAACGATCTTGAATGTCATACTTCCTCCAACCGTGAAATACTGGCTTCTCACTCTGCTGAGATATCGTCAGTTACCCGCCAAGACCGGCAAAGAGGCCCCTTCCAACAACATCTTCCAGTTTCAATTCGAGGAATTGTCCTGATATCTGTGCATGAGCTCCCAGATAAATACCGGTCGATCTTTCCCTTCCCCGTATTCAATGCCGTACAGTCAAAATGTTTCCAATCGGTCTACAAGACCGATAGCAACATTGTTCTTGCCGCACCTACAGGCAGTGGCAAAACAGCT